TGAACCCCCTCATTTTACAGATGAAGAAAGTGAGGGTTCAGTGGGTAGCAGAGTTCTCTGACTCCAAATTCAACCAGCATTCTGTTCACTGAACCAAACATTGAAATTTTATATAACAAAAATGTTTTCATTATTTCATAAATTCTTAGAGAGTAAGGAACATGATATTCTATACCATGGGTGTCAAATGCAACTCTTGAGAGGTAGGAACTAGATTAAAATATAATGGGAACTGTTTAATAAAATAGATAAAAATACATTAACATATTGATAACATTACATTTTAAATCTTAAGTCAGTATGTGGCCACCGGGATGCATATGTATAGATTAATGGCCCCATTTCTGTTTGAGTTTGACACCACTATTCTACATCATTAACAGTTTTTGTTGCCTAAAACGTAGCTATAATTCAGAGGTTGGATTGTATAAATCACATCCCCTAGGGATTGTACAATATAGTGGGATCTGTAGTCCACATTTAAAAGCAAAAAGTCATCTCAAGTGTGTGTGGAACTTTTATTTTTAGACAAGCATGTATCCTAAATGTGTCACATACTAGGTTATAAATAATGTTCTCATATTTAACCCATTATTAAAGCAGCTGTCTTTTACACAAGCTGATATTCTCTTTGAAATCCTTGAATATTGAATTTGACTGAGGTCTAAAATAATGAAAACATCTATCATTAAATGGATATTTTAAATAACCAATGGATCATCTCAAAATCTCAGATTTGGAGAGGGCCTCAGAACCCATCTAGACCAGTCAATAAGCTGAACTTCTCTAAAATATCACCAAACATCATCATTGTACCTTTGCTTGAAATCCTCTTAGGAGGGAGAGAGTCCCTACCTCTTGGATCAGCCTATTCAACATTTGAGCAGCTCTGTTTATTAGGTGGTAGACTCATTAAGGGGGGACTGGTGGTGGTGGTGGTACCTGAGTGCATATATTCATTGTAGCATAGATTTTCTGGAAAGACTTTCTGATAACACAATTTATCCAAGCCTGAGAAGGTATTTATTAAAGTACCTTAAAAATGTAGCTATGACCAATAACAAGATAACCACCTAGCTGTTATAAATTTTCTATTATAAAAGCATTTGTTGCTCTTGATATTTTTTCCAGGTAAGTTTATCGTAACTCATTGTTTTGTTTTTACCACCACAATCTAGAATATAATTCTTGAAATACTGCGATAAGTTCATGTTTTGGGCCTAAAATCAAGGCAGCTTTATGAACGTACACATAGGACAAAGATTAGATCACTATGGTTTTGAATATAGCAATTTATTCACTCATTCTTTTCTTCATTTGGTTAGTTAGCACTAACCTACTTTTACTGTATAGATTGATTCATGTTACTTTCCAAAGCACTTTATAAATCCAACTAATTGACTCTCAGGAAAGAAAAAAAGCAAGAAAATGGGACTCTAGGCTTCTGGGTTTGGTTTGAAGTAAAGACTGAAGGACCAATAGCTATAAATGAGCTTGACCTTTTCTTCTCACAAGCCATGTAGCCACAAGTTGATATTCTTTATTACAGTTAAATTGCAAAGAACTCTCAACATTTGTTTGACTCTAGGTCTTCAGCTATGATTTTTCGTTGTGAAAGCTACAAGAAGAATGGCAAAGAACATAAGAGAAAAGTGTCTCTATTTTTAAAAGAACTACTCTCTCCATTCTCGAAACACATTTGGAGTTGCATTTTCAGATCAAAGAAGCTGAAAGAAATATTGCCTTGACATGTTTCAGGCAGCTGGTGCACAATCTGCATTCAGCAAGTTAGGATTTGTGTTTTATTTTAAATTGTAGGCTTGAAGTCTGCAGAAAATGCAGACTGAAAAAACCCTTCCACTTAGCTATTTTCAACTTAAAATAGCTCTAATGCTCATCAGAATGGCAAATTCTACCAGAAATTAATTTATTCCCCCTTCTCCTGGACCTATTTCTCACCCCCAAGTTGTAGCTTTTAAATAAGTAATTTTTAAAGCTTTTGCAAATGGTTACATCTTATTGTTTAGCCCAAAGCCACTTTTGAACTCCTGAACTGGTATGCCATCTGAATTGCTAGAATTTTATACTATGAAGAAAGAATGGACTATATAAAGCTTTTCTTTAGACCATTGATTTTGAAATGCGGAAGGGGAGGTGTCAAGCCAATTAAAGTCTATAAAACATATGATGGGGCGGTTTTGTTGCATAGAATGCTAAAAATTTTGCAGACATTTACTCAGATAATAAGAAACATTTCTATACTTAATTTTTTTAAGTTTGGAAGAGAAGATTGGCAACATCCTGGTTGTTTTCTTTTAGCCAGACTTCTAGAATATCTTCATATACCTTTGATTTCAGTAGAATTTTAAGATGTGAATTATTTTGTAAGGAGTAATGTCTTTTGAACTTAGAAATAAAACTAGGAGGCAAAAAGATCTGAAAATTTGATGGCAAGTGGGAAAATTGAACTTGTATTCCAATCAAATTTCCTTAATTTCTCAAACATTATTATGGACAGACGATCACATTAATGGATTCTTTTTTCATTCTTTATTTCAAATTCTATACACCTCGAACATCATGAAGCTTGTGTGTTAATTTTTATTTCTGGGTTCTTTATGCCACGTAAGTATTAGTCACATCTAAAAAGAAGATTTATCAGCAATCAAATTTAAGAAAAAGCACGCCAAAGGCACCTCAGAGTCAACATGTTTGATACTAAGATCATCATTCTTTCCCCCCAAACCCACCCCTTTTCCTGATTATCCTATTTATATGATGGGTACCATCATCCTTCCCTGAACCCAAGTTTTCACCATAGAGATCTTACTTAATTCTTCACTCTCATTTACTCTCCGTATCTAACCAATTGCCAAATATTGTTCTACCTGTACAACCCTTCACTCATTCACCCCTTTCTCTCCACTCACATCACAGTCACCCCAGCTTGGGCCCAAGTTAACTCTTTACTGAACTATTGTAAAACCTTCAAGGAACTCAAAACTACCTTATTAAAGTTTGGTGATTAATGCTAAGGGAGTTATATCCTCAGTACTGTCTAGGCATCTATGTTTTTAACTCAATGTAAGATGAATTCTAATCTTTCTAAGTTTTTATACAGATAGCATTTCTATATGTCAGGGTTTTGTGACAATCACTGTTAGATCTTTTCAGAGGTTTAAGATTAGTTTATATTAAGATCTCATTCAAATTATTCTATTTGTAAGAGAAAGTCATCTGCAAAATAGTTTCTTTCTATGTAGGGCATTATTTTCTAGACTTGTTTAGGGTAGGAGAAGCTCTAGGAAGGTCTTACTAATGTCTGTTATTAAAATTGAAAATAATTATACCTTAAGTTTACCCTGATTTTTTTTTTTGTAGCAAGTTGGACACTGAATAAAATACTGAGTCATTTTTCTATAGGCATTCCAGTTATTTAATAAATAATTTATAGGAAAACTATAACAGTGTAAGAATTTTACACATGAAATCATAGTTTAGGAAAGCATGAACCAGAAAGAAACTATTACATTTATATAAACATCCTAGGTATAAAACGGAGCAATTAAAATCAAAGAATTAAATCTCCAGACTGATAATTTCAAGCAGAATGCCTTTTTTTTTTGCTAGAATATTAATTGATGAGAAGCAGTGCTCCAGTAGTGAATAGAAAGTCAGTCCCAAAATAGGAAGACCTGGGGTTCAAGTCTAGTCTCTGAGACATACTTTCTGTGTGACCTAGGGAAAGAAATCACAGGTCCGATCCCTATTCCTTATTAAGGGATATGAATCACAGAATTTGAGAGTCAGGTGGGAACTAGTTCAATCCATATCCAAAAAGATACCCATCATAGCATACCTGAGGAGATACCAATCAAAAAGTATTTATTAGAGCCAATTGTGTTGGCTAATACAGATACTGTACTAGATGCTGGGTATACATATACAAATATAAAAATAAAATATTCCCTGTGCCCATAAGGAGCTTATATTAAATTAGATGGGGAAAACAGTATGTACAAGTTAACATGCAAGGCAATTGGAGGGAGGGCAGAAGGGAAGGAAGCATTAGCAGCTGAGGAGAATCATAGTCTTTGTTGCTCTCAAGGTGGAAGATGGTGCTTGAACCGAGAGAAATGAAAGATTCTAAAAGGTAGAGATGAGAAGGGAGTACTTTCCAGGCACAGGGGACAGCTTGTAGATAGGATCAGTGATAGGAGTTTGTAATACTATATGTGAAGGGCCAGGCCACAAGTAGCCCAGTTTAGATGGACCACTAAGAGTTAGAGGCAGGAATGTATGTGTCTGGAAAGCTGGACTGGAGTTAGATTGTTAAAGACTTTAAATGTGAAGTAGAAGCATTTGCATTTTTGTAGTGAAACTATTCAGAATTGTGATGCTTATAGAATCTATAATTGAATAATTCTTGGAACTTTTTTTAGCTATATCCAGTTGTATTAGTTGATCTCCAAATTTTATGTGTGTGTGTGTGCATCTGTGTATGTATATAAATGTATATAGCACTTTAGCAATCACAAATTTTCTTTCTAAAATGTAGTGTCAAGGTTGAGTTTCAGTCTTTATAGAATTTTTTATTATTCACTGATAATATAGGTAGAGTGACATCAAAAAATAAATCTTTTGGGAGGTAATTGTTTTTCTAAAAAGATTATAGAGGAATTTTAAAACAAAATATCAGTGTTTTCTTTTGGGGATATTTGAGAGAAATACAAACCTTTTAAAAAAGATTCTTTATGAAATAGATTTAAAACGAGTCTCATAAGACTACTACATTTTTACGTCTTTAAAAAAGGTCTTAAATGTCAAAATATTTGGGACACGTTTAAAATGAACAAAGTTGAACAGTTTTTTGCTTTTGGTAAATGAAAATTGTCATAATGGTTGTGACTAAATTTTATCACATGATTGAATGAAGACTTCATATGATTGCTTTTTACTGTAAAACAGCCTTTTTTTAAAAGATTTTTTTTCCCTTTCAGATAAATTTACGACTCATCTTAGTGAGTGGGAAAACTAAAGAATTCCTGTTTTCTCCTAATGATTCAGCAGCAGATATTGCAAAGCATGTATATGACAATTGGCCAATGGGTGAGTAGCCTTTTCTCATGATCAATGTTAGATTATGTATATTTTTTATAATTTAGAATAACTGGGATCATAAGACTTATGTTGGATGAGCTGATCTCTAAAGTTCTTTGCATCTCTAAATCATATGATTCTATGTCCATTTTCTTTTTTTTAATTTTTAGTTTTCAACATTTACTTCCACAAGATTTTGAGTTCCAAATTCTCACCCATCTCACCCCTCCCCCCACCCCAAGATGGCATGCACTCTGAATACCCCTTCCCCTAGTCTGCTTTCCCTGCTATCTCTCCCCCGCTTCCCCTTCTATTTTCTTGTAGGGCAGGATAGATTTCTGTACCCCATTTCCTGTATTTCTTATTTCCCAGTGGCATGTAAAAACATTTTTTTTTAAACATGTGTTTGTAAAACTTTGGGTTCCAAATTTTCTCCCTTCCTCCCTCCCCACCCACCCTCATTGAAAAGGCAAGGTATACATGTGCAGTTATAGTTCCATAGTAGATATGTGGTGAAAAACTAATTCTATTTCCCTTAATCCTATCCCACCCCACCCCCCATTTATTCTATTCTTTCTTTTGACCCTGTCCCTCCTCAGAAGTATTTGCTTCTGATTACCCCCTTTTCCAATCTGCCCTCTTCTCTATCATCCCTCTACTCTGTTGTCCACTTCCCTCCTATTTTCCTGTGGGGTAAGACAGATTTCCATACCCAATTGAGTGTGTATGTTATTCCCTCCTTAAGTCAAATCCTATGAGAATAAGATTCACTCATTCCCTCTCAACTTCCCCTGTTTCCCTTCCACAGTAAGAGCTTTTTCTTTTCTGTTTTTTGTGAGATAATTTACCCCGTTCTGCCTCTCCCTTTCTCCTTCTCCTAGTATAATTCTCTCTCACCCCTTAATTTTATTCTCCAGATATGACCCTTTCATCTTCAACTCACCCTGTGCCCTCTATCTATCTATCTATACATACATACATATAATTTTTTTCCCTCCAACTACCCTAATACTGACAAAGGTCTCATGAGTTACAAATATCATCTTTCCATGCAGGAATGTAAACAGTTCAACCTTAATAAGTCTCTTATGATTTCTCTTTCCTGTTTACCTCTTCATGTTCCACTTGAGTCTTATATTGGAAAGTCAAATTTTCTATTCAGTTCTGGTCTTTTCATCAAGAATGCTTGAAAGTCTTCTATTTCACTGAATGACCATTTTTTCCCCTGAAGAATTATGCTCAGTTTTGCTGGGTAGGTGATTCTTGGTTGTAATCCTGTTTCCTTTGCCTTCCGGAATATTATATTCCATGCCCTGTGGTCCCTTAATGTAGAAGCAGCTAAATCTTGTGTTATCCTGATTGTGTTTCCACAATACTTGAATTGTTTCTTTCTGGCTGCTTGTAATAGTTTCTCTTTGACCTGGTAGCTCTGGAATTTGGCTACAATATTCTTAGGAGTTTTGCTTTGGGGCTTTCAGGAGGAGATCAGTGGATTCTTTCAATTTCTATTTTGCCCTCTGGTTCTAAAATATTAGGGCAGTTTTCCTTGATCGTTTCTTGAAAGATGATGTCTAGGCTCTTTTTTTGATCATGACTTTCAGATAGTCCAATAATTTTTAAATTCTCTCTCCTGGATCTATTTTCCAGGTCAATTGTTTTTCCAATGAGATATTTCACATTGTTTTCTAATTTTTCATTCTTTTGGATTTGTTTTACGGTGTCTTGATTTCTCATAAAGTCACTAGCTTCTAATTGCGCTATTCTAATTTTTAAGGAAGTATTTTCTTCAGTAATCTTTTGGACTTCCTTTTCCATTTGGCCAATTTTGCTCTTTAGGGCATTCTTCTCTTCATTGGCTTTTTGGACCTCTTTTGCCATTTGGGTTAGGCTATTTTTTAAGGTGTTATTTTCTTCATTATATTTTTGGGTCTCCTTTAGCAAGCTGTTAACTTGCTTTTCATGATTTTCTTGCATCACTCTCATTTCTCTTCCCAGTTTTTCCTCTGCTTCTCTTACTTGCTTCTCAAAATCCCTTTTGAGCTCTTCCAAGGCCTGGGACTGATTCATATTTTTCTTGGAAGTTTTGGATGTAGGAGCTTTGACTTTGTTTTCTTCTTCTGGTTGTATGTTTTGATCTTCTTTGTCACCAAAGTAAGATAATATAGTCTGACTCTTTTTGCGCTGCTTGCTCATGATCCCAACCAATTACTTGAGTTTTAAACTCTTTGTTAAGGTAAGAGTCTGTTTCCAATGTGGAGAATGTACTGTCCCAAGTTTCCGGGGGGTTTGTACAGTTGTTTTCAGAGATACTTCTAGGGACCTGAAAAGTGTCGGTTGTTCCAAGGTGCTGTGATAAGGGGCGAGGTATTTCCTCTCCACCACCACAACAAGCTCCACCACTCCAGCGTTCCTCCTTGCCAGCGCTCTTCCTTGCCCCAGGACCGCCCCTCAGAACTGTGACTCAGATCCAAGCACGGGCAAAGCAAGGGATTTCTGCCTCAGCCCTGGCAAAGAGATCCTTGCAATCCCCCTCTGATCAGCTACTGGATTCCCTCTCAGTCTGTGGGCCGGAAGCTCAGACGCAGCTGCTGCCCTGAGGGCACGCTCTGGACTTGGGGCTGAGACCTAGCTTCTTCTCTCACCACGGTCACAGACTTTTCCCACTGACCTTCTAAGTTGTCTTTGGTGTTCGTGGGTTGAGAAGTCTGGAAACCACCACAGCTGCGCGTGATTCAGTCCTCTGTGGCCTGCTCCAGGGTCGCTGAGGCCTGCGTACCCACGCTGAACTGCGCTGCTCTCCCAGCCCAGCGTGATATACCTTTCCTATCAGCCATCCAGGTTGCCTTGGGCTGGAAATTTGTTTTACTCTGTTTTTTTGTGGGTTCTGCTGCTTTAGAATTTGTTTAGAGCCATTTTTTATAGGTAGTTGGAGGGGTTTGGGGGAGAGCTCCAGCAAGTCACTACTTTCCCTCTGCCATCTTGGCTCCGCCCCCCCTCTATGTCCATTTTCAAGGGTAGTGTCACATTAAGGGAACTGAAATAACAATGATGGCCATAAAATTCCTTTTTCTGACAAGCCCTCCTAAGAGCTTCACAACATAATTTGGTGTAAAAATGGCCTGATCTCATAACCTCCATTTGGAGTTCCCCTACCTTGATTATATCTGTAACTTTGCTTTATACTTAGAATTGGTGTTAGACTACAGCCTCTAGCCCAGAAACAGAGGTCCTAAATAACTAGCTAACCAAAGCCTGTGGCAGTCCCATCAATCTTTTTTTTTGGTTTTGTTTTTTTTGTTTTTTGTTTTTTTTTGTTGTTGTTGTTGTTTTTTGGAGGTTTGTTTTTTTTTTTTTTTTGGTGAGCCAGTCGGGGTTAAGTGACTCGCTCAGGTCACACAGCTAGTGAGTAGCGTGTGTCTGAGGTCGGATTTGAAAGTCCCATCAGTCTTTAGGAGTTGACGCAACTCCCAAAAGATCTTGTTAGAGCCTCTTTGAAGTTTGTCATTTTTCTATCCCACTTCGTATTGTTGATGCTGTTAGTTACGGTAGCACAACCAGAATGAGTAACAGTCTAGTTCAACCTTAGAACTAGAAACTGAGAAACCTTTCCTGTTCAATCTGTACTTTCTATGTACAGGAAAGATATTTATTAAGTCTCTCTTTTTGTACTTTTTTTTTATGAGAAGAAGAGTTTTCTTCTCTCCCTGTGGAAAATGGCTGTTGAGATAGTTGTCACTTTTTAAAAAATAAATACCAAAACATAGTAAAAAAGAAAAGAAAATTTAAATATAAGCAGAATACTTTTTAAAAAATTGGAGCAAATTGACCGTTTCTGTTACATACTATTCAAAACTATTTTTCGAAGGCCATTTGTAATTACAGGTTAATAAGACCTTTCCACTCTGCAGAGTCATGAGGTCAGGAAATCTGTTAGTTTCTCCTTTGTGTTTTTAAAGAGCCAGTTTGAAGCAGCCCACTTCTTAAAATAAAACTAAAACCTCTCTTTGGCACAAAATCTCCATTTTCTGTTAAATTTTTTTCTGTAGTAGATCTCTTCCCCCTCTGAGATTCTCTCTGCAATGTGTCTCTAATCTGACTAGCCTCTTTCTTCTGGACTTTTCTAAGCCATTTTTATATGAGAGACTGAGTAATATGACTTTTTTAGCTGATTTAATTTAGTTTCATGAGCAAAGCTAGACTTTGAAAAATGGGATTTTTAAGGGCAAAACTTTTAATGCAGAACCATGTCTGTATATAAAAATTAATCACTACTTCGTCCCTCTGCCTGTAATCTGTAGGTGTGTGTTGGTCCCAGAATTCAAGCAGTTTTATCTAAGACAGAATTTGCAACTCACTTAAACAACTTTAAGCATAGGGCTGTTGAAAGGCAGGGGCAGGAGAAATATATATGATTGGAAAGTAGGTGGAATTGGAGCCAAAGAGGTGTTGTATTTTTTGGGTGTGAGACAATCAGAGTTAAGTGACTTGCCCAGGATCACACAGATAATAAGTGTCAAGTGTCTGAAACCAGATTTGAATTTAGGTCCTTCTGACTCCAGGGCTGGTTCTCTATCCACTGTGCCACCTAGCTGCCCCTGGAGTCAATGAGGTTTTGAAGGAATGAGGCTGAGTGAAATTAAAAGAAAAATAATTGAAGAGAAATCATATGAAGTATGAAGAAGAGACTTAGGAAAATATTTTGTCATCTTTTTTGAAGTCTGCCCAGCCACTTGTCCAAGCAATTCTACACGGAACCCTTGTATTATGTGTATATAACTTATTCCTGGATGAATTTAAATATTTTCTTCAAAAACCTGCTTTTATCTTTTACTTTCCTTATTTCTGCTAATGTCAACACCATTTCTCCAAATCTTAACTTCTCCCTGATGCTGATATCCAAATTAACAGTCAAATTTGTCTGTTCTACCTTTGAAATGTTCTTCCAGTCCCTTCCTTTCCATTTCCTCAGTCACCAGCCTAGTTTGGGTCCTCATTTTACTTCTCTTCAGGTCTGTTGCACTGACTTGCTAACTGTCTCCTTTCCTCTAATTCATTCTGTACTTTGCTGCCAGAATAGTCTTACTAAAGTATAGCTGTGATCAAAGCATTGTCCTGTTATATACCTTCCCTGGCTCCACGTTGCCTAATACGATAAAATTCAAATATAGCCTGAAATTCAAAAGCTTCCACAGACTGGTCCTAAAACTGCCTTTCTGTCTTTAATTCCCAGTACTTTCTTTCAGCATCCTCTTCTCCAGACAGAGGAGCAGCTTTGAGGCTTTTCCTTTTGCTTAAAATGTCATCACCTTCTTCCTAAATCTCTCACAGTTGATAATTTTTAAGACCTATCTCAAGTTCTAGCTTCTCCATGAAGCTTTCTCTAATTCTGTTTCACCTCAGGCAAAAATCTCCACTTCAAAGAAAGAAAAGATTACTTCTGTTACCTGCCTGTCATGATTGATCATGTTGAGGACCTAAGTTTATAAATCATGAATTGTGCTATACAATTGTGAGCTGTTATTATTTTTTGGGTGGCTAGTGTCAGGCCTGGAGTCAGGAAGACTCATCTTTCTAGGTTCAGATCTGGCCTCAGACACTTAAACTTTGCTCATCTGTAAAATGAGTTGGAGAAGGAAATGGCAACCTTCCCTCCACCCCCTCCAAAAAAAGCCCCTAATGGTGTCATGAAGAGTCAGGCACGACTGAACGGCAAAAATTATTGCTTTTATTTGTATCCCTCTTTTGGCACTTGTCACATTCTTCCTTGTTTTCACATTTATTTGTGAACATATGTTATCTCCTTTTTTGGGGTGAGAGAAATAAATGCTTTATTCACCTAGTTTCTAGACGTTTGGTACAATGAGTATGTCCAAGACTTGCCTTTTTCCATATCAGAATTTGGATCAATGACCTTTTGATTTAGAATAATTTTGTTACTGATGGAAGCAGTAGACCTTCCATTTCATTGGGTCACATCATTTAAACAGATTGTGGCTAAGTCATTAGGGACCACAGTAGAGCTTTCAACATTTTTAGGAGTATTGGAGAGATTAACGTTTTGTTATAATTTCATGTAGCTTTCCTGTTCTTTTTAGTTATTAACAGTGATAAATCTTTATGAAAACCATTGGATAATAATGCCTTGTATTTGTATAATACATTGGATCTAGAAAGCATTTTCACATGCTAGCGTATGCACTGTGCTACTCCTTGGAGAGAGAGAGAGAGAGAGAGAGAGAGAAAGATAAATAAGATGCTTTCCCTGTTGAGATAGAGCTTATGGAGTCTTATATTCATATATATAAGTGACGATAGTGAAGAATAGAACAGCATGGGTGTAAGAAAGGTACCAAAAAGTGTTATGTAAAGTCCAAGGAAGAAAAGATCAAACAAGAAAAGGTAATCTCCATATTACTTGTCTTGAACTATATTGAGAGCAGAAAGGAGTAAATCTTTTTCATTAATAATTATCTTTGATCCAAGTAATATTAAAATTAGTTTGTTTGTTTTTTCCCAGCAATCCTTGACATGTGGCCAAGGAAGCTATTTTGAGAATTTGCTGCAAATAGTCTATAGAGTAGATAAACCACACATCAGTAAGTGAGAGTATTGATGCCACACCAAACTTTACAAAGTATTTGATTCCCATCCTTTCACTTTCACTCCCACCCACCAGGTGGAATCTGATACACACACACACACACACACACACACTCCACACACACGCACATACACACACACACAGATCAATATGAAGTAATTTCAGGAAGGAGAGAGCACTGACAACTGGAGGTGAGGAGAGGAATGGGAAACACCTTCCATGAGGAAGCCTTGAAGGAAAAGGAGGTTTCTATGAGGATAGGATAAGGAAGAAGCTCATCTTTTAGTTCTGTTAACTTGTATTCTGACCCAGTAACATACATAACAATAAGTACAAAAATAAGAATTAAAAAAAAAATCCAAATTCATATAATCCTATCTTGTCTAATATAAGAGATAGTTCATAATAGAATAATATATTCTCCTTAGTAGTTTGTGAATCAGTTATTGATATTAAAAATACTGTGATTTTTATCAGTGTACAAAAATTGGGATGGGATGTTCACAATAAAGTCAGTCCTACCACTTTAAAACAGTTTATAAGCCTACCATTATAGGGCAGCATCAGGACTTAAGCCAGAAGTAGAGTAACTTTTTTTCTATGAAGGGCTACTGAAAGAAATCCACCAAGATCCATATATACATAAAACAACAGCAACCACCAATTGTAGGTTTGTTGTTGAGTTGTCCACCCCATCCATTCTTCCCAGAGAAACATAAAATAATTCAACTTATTTCTTAGGTTAAGAACAGGGAACTTAGAGCACTGTACTGCTTAGTGGAGAGCAAGTTAAATAGTGAAACAGAAAGATGGCTTTAGAGAAAGACATTGAGTCAGAAGAGGAGGGACAGACATGAGCAGATGAGAGAGAGAGGCCATAGTCTTCTGGCAGCCCAGCTTCACCTTTACCTCATAGACCCAGGATGATCAAAATCTGTTTTCTGTGGGAAAATGGGCCTCGCTAGAATACCATGTTTAGCTCATCTCTGAGGGGCATTTATGCACTATCCGAGTGCTTTCTATGTTTTCTGAATCTGCTTATGAGCTCTAAAGTGCTGAGGGTTTTCTGTATTTGTCTATAGACTTCTTTGAGTCCTTTGCCTCTTCTGCATCATTCTTTATTGCTACCCAATGTAGTTGTAGTATCTTGAATACTTGTATAGGAGCTGGGAACCCCTTTTATCCATATATGTGAAAACCTAGACATGAGACATACCTAATTCATATTTGAAGATTTCCTAGAGTAAATCTATGTAGGGCAAAGAGCCAAAACAGAAACTGACTTTCTTGGGTCAAGCTCTAGGATCAGTCATTTTAAAATCTCAGAGCCATAGAGACACATTTTTTTTCCTTACAGTGCAATAATTTTTCCATTGCAATTCTGTGTCATGGTTTATTTACCTACCTTCTAATCAATGGATGGATACCTTCTTTATTTTTCTATCTTAGGAGGTGCTGTTGCTATGAAAATTTCAGTTTATAGTGGATTTTTTGCCCTCATGTCTTTGATTTCCTTGAGAGCCATACAATGTATTTACTTTTCTCATTGTTTTCCAGACTAGTTGGATCGATTCCCATTTTTATCATCAGTGTATTAGTTTGCCTGTCTTCCTGTAGCCCCTCTAGCCTTTAATTATTTCTGTCTTTTGTCATCTTTTTCCAATTTGCTAAGTGTAAGCTAAAACTTCAGAAATGTCTTAATATGTATTTCTCTTATTGTTAGTGATACACTGTGCATGACATTACACCCTCCCCATATCTATGCCTTTGCAAAAACTGCTAAGACTTTTCCTTGTTGCATCTTGCCAGTTTGAAACTGGGTCAGAAAAATACAATACTCCCTACCTATCTTTTGGAGTTCATATGACTAATTCTCTGGTTTCTTTTCAGACTGGGAAGAAGAACAGGTTAGCAGTCCAAACATTCTTCGACTTATTTATCAAGGACGATTTCTACATGGAAATGTGACACTAGGAGGTAATGACATCATTTTTTTAATAAGAATTAACCGTGAGTGGTAGGATTTGTTTGTGGGTTCTTTTAGGTTACTTTCTGTTTGTTTGTGGTATGGCTCTTAATATTTAATATTTTGCTAAACCTAAGTATTTAAACTCTTATGAATCAGATTCCTTTCTGTTTTAGTTAGAAGGCCGTATGGCGTAATTGGAAAGCTGTCGTTTGAGAGGCACACTAATTATATGTCAGGGCATCCTGATTTTGTTGAAGTATTTTTGGTAATTTGTTGGAATAATATTGTGGTCATGATATGATAAGAAACAACTTAAAAATCATAAGGAAAGGCCAGTCTGTCTCTAGGGTAGAGTTCTTGTGAGGAGCAAAAATAAATAGGTTTTTGCAAATGTTTGTAGAGATATAGCTTAAGGGTGCCACCTTGTGGTTCACTTTTGACCTATTCTCTCCACTCACATAGCTTCAACCACAGTTTACATCCTTATCACCTCTCACCTAGATTATTGAGACAGCCTTTAAATTGGTCTTCCTGACTCTGGTTACTCCAGTTCATCTTACACATTATTGCCGCAATCATTTTCCTTAAATATGGGTCTGACCTTGTGACTTCCCACTCAGGCAAGTCCAACAGCTCCCTGTTGCCTCGATGGTAGAAGGTAAAACTCATTTTTGCCTTTTAGAGCCTTTTACAACCTAGTTTTATTACTGAATGATGATCTTAACCTCATTCATAGATAGTGAAGAGAAATCAGAAACTGAAAAATGGCCATAGAACTAAATGAGCATTATGATTGTTGGAAACACCAATGCAGAAAGCCAGATTTACTCCATATTTGTGATATTATCCACAGAATAGCGAAGTAATTTACTGTGAAAACTTGAAGAACCTGCAAAACTTTTTAGGAGCAGTGCCAGGACAGTGATTCTTTTAACTACCCGCTTAGAAAAATGGTAGTAAGGGAAGAAAGATTAAAATGAAATTTCTTCATCATTTACTTTATTTTGGTTTATAGAAATCGGTTTGGTCCAGTGATTGTTTGGATTTTTAGCTTGTAATCAGAGAAACAAATGTATCCCAATTATAATGCCTAACATTTTTCCTAATTTAGGGAAAAAATGTTCTCAGTTGTTGCTTTCCCCTTTAAAAACAAGTATATGGCTAAACTTATCTGACATGAGCCAAATCAAATGAGGTAATATGTATGAAATAAGTAGCTTTAAAAAGTGTAAAGCATTATATAAATGTAGAGGATGTCGATTTTTTTTTTAAAGAAAAAGCTATGAATTCTACCTTTAATTTCCATGGTTTTATAATTCTAATAAATAAAAACTTATTTTCTCACAAGATTAACCAATAGTTGTCAAAAGATAGGTATCACTTAGGTATTGTAGTTTGAAAGTCAAGCATGGAACGGTTAACATGTGAGACTGTTGTTCAGCACCTTCTGGTTTTCAAAATAATTAGATGTTACCTTTTAAATAATAGACTATAAGCTCCACAAGAAAAAGGAAAACATCCACACAATGCTAGCACAGTGGCTTATATATATTAGATGTTAAGTAAATATTTATTAAGAATGAGTGAGTGAGATAATTTTTCTTGTTTGTTGGTCATGAGACTATATTTCATTTTTAAATTGTCATCTTTTAAAGATTTGAAATTCTATTGTGTGGAAGTACAATCATCTTATTAAAGCTCAGTAAAAGGCATTAATCTAATTAAAAAGATAGTTTCAATTCTCTTTAGCCAAAAAACAAATTTACTTTTAACAAATTACTCTGTTTTCACACAGCATTAAAACTTCCTTTTGGCAAAACAACAGTGATGCATTTGGTGGCTAGAGAGACATTGCCAGAACCAAATTCTCAAGGTAAGCTGTGAGCTATGTTTTAGAGAAGGGTCTAACTATAGTCACATGGGCAAGCATTCAAAAATATCATGGTTTTCCTTGGACTTTCCAAGGGAAAGATAGGAAATCTTCAGTTTATGAATAGTTTTTGTCAAGCTAATAATCAAATGTTCTGGGACATGCTAGTATTTTTTAAAAAGCATTTATTATAGTTCTTTAGTACATATAAATTGTTGTTCAGTTGTTTTCAGTCAATGTCCAACTCGTCGTGATCCTGTTTGGGGTTTTCTTAGCAAAGATACTGGAGTGATTTGCCATTTTCTTCTCCATTTCATTTTACAAATGAGGAAACTGAGGCTTGATTTGAACTCATAACAATGAGTCTTCCTGACTCCAGGCCTGACACTCTAGCTACTGTGCCATGGAGTTGCCCAATACGTATAAATACAGAATTTAAAAGTTGTGTTAGGTTGATCACTATTATGTACCTTGGATGAGGTATTTTTTTTTTTTTGAAACCAGTTTCTAGCTTGTAAATAGGTCTTCCGTTCATTTTCCACAGGTCAGAGGAACCGTGAAAAGACTGGAGAAAGCAATTGTTGTGTGATCCTGTAAACACTGATGTTTCTGCTAAGTGTGGTGTAATATATAAGTCTTTGTCTTTCATGCTGCTGGGATAGAAGAGATCCAACATTGCTTCAGACATGCTTAGGAACAGTCTGTAAATCCATGGAACTGAAATATTACATGAACACTGTTGTTGCATTCTCTCTTGCAAGAAGAGATTCAAGAACATTTTCACTATGATTTTTTATTTCTAGTTATTTTTATGTTGAGCAATCTTATAATTCATTGGTTTTTGAATGCAGTCAATCCAGGAAAACAAAAAGTTAACGTGTTACCTTCCAGAGCAGAAACCATTTTGCTGCCATAAAAAATCTTCATCCAGAGAACTAATAAATCAAGCGTTCCAAATGCAATTTGCACTAAAAATGGTTGACATTATTTCGTTATTTTCATCAATAGAATTTGTAACTCTGTCCATGACACCTAGAAATAATCTACTATAAATTTCATACTGGAAAAACACTCAGCAATTAATAATGTTTGTTAATGGCCAACTTTTTCTTTCTTTTTAACGGAAAAGGGGCAGGAGAAAAATGGAAAATAAACTTAACTGTTCAGTGAATTCTACCAAAGTTAACCTTGGTGGTAACACTGGCATAGGATACTAACTAAACTGAGTGTGACTCTGTTTTAACTGCAACAAATGAAAAAACAATGTGCCTGTTATTTAAAGCACTCTGTAGAGGGCTGTTTAATTGTTTTCATTATGATGTGCACTCTTTGGTCATGCAGTAGTCGAGTGCTTGTTCATACAGCACAAATAGGGCAAAGAGTGTGTTTCCTAGCCTTAATATGGGAGGGGTAATTTCCTGTAGTCCATAGGCTTTTATTATTGTGCATAACTATTAGAAAACCTCATCTACTGATCAATTTTATGTATTTGAATATCAGCAAATTGATGGTTTTTTTCCAGTAATCTTTTCTCATCTGTACCTTAGTGTCCAATGTCATGCTTACTCATTAGTCATTTCAAACAAATTCTTAATATTAAAAAAAAAAACAACCTTTTTGCCATAGTACTAGTTTTGTTTATGTAATCTGCATTTGGTATTAGTGCTTGCAATTGTATTAAAATCAAAAGCTGATTTTTAAGGCATACATGATTTAAAGTGATGCCATCCTTTTGTTTCATACCAATAATTTAAAAGTTGATATGCTCAAGAAATTTGCACAGCACTAAAGCATGAGCTAGTTTCATCTAAATCTGTAAAAATATAAAAGATTTTATATTTTTTCACTGGGAAGAAATTCTTCCTGGGTGAAATTACAAATATGTGTAGAATATATTTAATAAAAATCTTATAAAATACTTAACTATAGGATTTAAATATAGATTGGCGTGTAGTATAATAGAACAATATTCCATATAAATAGCTTTAGCCTTCACAGAAATTAAAGTCACAGGCTGACATTGTGTTCTGTATTAATAAGTGTCCACAGCCCTTAAACATACATGTAAACGTTTCCAGATGGTCAACATCATTTAAATGTAATCAGGTTATTTTATTCATTGTTATCGCTTTGATGAAAAGGCTTTATATGCAGTAGATCTACAAAAATATTGTTCATACTGATCAGAATTAAATTTGTATAGAGCAGAGTTTTAAAACAAATTGTAAATAGTACTAAACATTTTCTTTCTGCAACCTGTACTGATAAAATCCTTCTGTAAACTAAATAAAAGAATATTGTAGTGCATTTGGGTGGTAATTTTAGAGGTCCTTGATTAGATCAATAATTGGTTAAACAGTTCTCATCATGGTTAAAACTATGTTTTCTATTGGTATTTTCTTCTGAATCTTGTTTTTTAAATTACTTAATATAATATTATTTAGTTTGTGATGTGTTCCCAATGCATTTCTTTGGTATTTAATCTGATTTATTTCTGCACAGTGACTACAATGAAAAAGTTTATGTAGTCTGTGCTCTCATTAAAAATATTATATTCATAGATACTAAATATTTATACTTTTTTTTTTAACTGTAGCTTGCACAAGAATCCTATCAATGTGGCCTAACTTGGTTAGGCAAGTGTCCCATTCAGGACTTTTGTTGGACTATTGCAATAGTCTCCTAACAGGTCTTCTTGCCTCCATTCTCTCCCTACTATAATTTATACTTAATTGTATAGCTGATCTAATCTTTATTATAAATTATGTCCTGATAACTCCTCTTGTGTCTATACCTCCACCTCCTACTCTGTGTAATTCATTCTTAACACTGCACCTAATCTAATCTTCTTAATGTAAATGTAGACCTCCAAACAGTCTTCTGCGTTCTGTCTTCATTGTTTCCATATTGGTTGATCCTTTGCCTGGCATTTGAGGACTGCCATGGTCTGGCACCACCATACCATTACCGCTGAACATCAGATGCAGACCCTTTCACCTGCTTTACTCTCTGACCAAACTGGACTACTCATTGTCTCTCAGTCTGGCACTTTTCTGCCTCCGTACTTTTCTCAAGCTGTTCCCTAGGTCTGTAATGTCTTGTCTGTTCTTATTCAGCTTTTGAATTTCTGCCTGTCCTTTAAAGTCCAACTCAAATGCCACCTTCATGAAATTTGTTTCCCTACCCTCCCTCCTCTAGTCTTTAAAGCCATCCTCACAGAGCACTTTGTTTTGCTACCTCTCTAATGCACTTATGTTTTATTTTATATTATTTTTATCTGTATTTGTATATTTCTCCTCCCTCTCCTAAGACTAAGCTCCTTAAGGGCAAAATTTTGTATCTTCTTTAGCACTTGGAACAATGGTCTACCAACATTAGGCCCTTAATGTTTGTTGAATTGGAACTCACTAGTTATTTAGAAATTGGTGGGGCAGCTAGGTGGTGCAGTGGATAGAGCACTGGCACTGGTCAGGCACTGAGTTTAAATCTGGCCTCAGACCAAACACTCGACACTTACTAGCTGTGTGACCCTGGGCAAGTCACTTAACCCCAATTGCCCCCCCCTTCCCCCCAAAAAGGTTGCTAAATAGGAAAAAGAAATTAATCAATAGAGAAAGAATTAGCATACTGAGATTTAAATAATAGGTATGCTAAATGAGCAAATTTCCGTAGTTATTAAAGTACCCACTTTGTGCAGATCAGTGTTCTGAGAACGAGGAGAGATGTATTAGTTGAATAAGACATGGAGCCTGCCCTCACAGAGTTTACAATATTAATGGGAGGATGCAACACATACATAACTGCAACACAGAACTATGTTCCTCATTCCATTTCGTTTTCAAAAATAAATTCATAATCAATATTTAGGTTAAAATGCAAACACCAAAAAGTTTTCTTAATTTAACATACTGTAAGATTAGTACAAGTACCCCTTTAATATTTTGTGTTGCATCAAAGTTGAGGTATGATTGGATACAACTGTGGCCGCATTGCCAAAAATGGCACCTCAGTTGTCTAATGGTTTGAGTTTCACTGGAACCAAAGTAGTAACACCAGAGATTTATAGGCATTTAGTTTATCCAGTATGAGTACACATCCTTGAGCTTGGTGTTTCAATTATGCCTTATTGTCCTTGAATAGTTTTAGCCTCCTGTTGGAATAGATAAGGTTCCCAGAATGATAAGGATCTTGGTCTTCACAAAAATGTCAGTGTTCTTCTGGAGTCAATGTTAACTGTGTGGTTTCTGTTTAACAGAAATTGTATCTGCTCTTGACACCAAAAAGGCTAAAATCTAGCATTATCCTGCATATTAAATAAGGCTTACCCCTAACACTGAATTTTAGTTTTGATAGGATCACCTTGACCAAAGTTAATATTTTTCTGTTAGCTGAGTGTGGTGTGTAATGTTTAATGTGAAATGAGATTAAAATTTACCCCTCTGGAATAATTTCCACATACACTTTTGGTTTATTTTCTTCATCTTTTTCCACCTTCTATTATTTACCATTTTTCTTCCTTTTTGCAATTCTGCTAGTCAGCCCTTTAGAAAAATTCACCTTTGGTGCCAGTTTCCATTAACTCAGGAACTTTGATAATTGAACCCAATTAAAAAAAAAAAAGTAGAATTTTTCAATTCCCGCATTCTATTAACATCTTGACTAGTTAAGTGTATGATATAATATTGTTTGGCTCATGGGAGTTTGGGATTTAATCTGAGTTACCTGTTATGCAAAAAGAGATGTTTTTCTTTTGTGGGCTGTAAGTTTTTATATAGAAAGTGAACATACAAAGAGCTTGTCCATTTTGGTTCTACCTTTAAAATTCTTTAAGCTTATTCCATGTAGGTCTTCAACTCTTCCCATTATTACTATTGTTTGGTAACATGAAAGCCTAATTGATTAACCATAGTGGATAACATGGAAGATTTGGTTTGATATTCAAAACTACCGATAAAGTGGCAAGAACAGGAATGACTTAGAGGAGAAATCATGGACAAAACTAAGTGGAAGAATTCTTACATAAGTTAAAATAATACTAAAATATGGGAGTGACTTTGGGTTGTAAGGCAAATTGTTTTATGCTCTGACAGCCATACTTCTCAATTTCCTTGTTCATGTGGTTAAACATAAATTCACATACATATTCTAAATTAACACTGGAAAGAATTTTAAGTCAAAAATAGCAATAAAACTTTGGGACTTGCCAACAAGGCTCACTTAACTTCTCCAAATGGAAGAGCCAGCATCATAAAATTACAGAATCATAGAGGCAGAACTCCTGAATTTGGATCCTAACTCGGACAAAGTTTGTCCGAAAAAATTTGGATCCTAACTTGGATAAAGAGAATCAAGTCACTTAATCTTCCTGAGCCTCCTCAGCTTTATTATCTGCAAAACTGATACACCAGTATTTATGCAGTACTACCTATTTCATAGAGTCGTGAGAAAAGTGTTTTGTAAAACTCAGAGGCCTGTGTAAATGTGGGTTTTTATTGTTGTTGTCATTGGCTTAGGGATGGAGGGACCTCAGAAAGAGGTATTCTAGTCCTACTCGCTATTCAAACCGGTTATGTGGTCTATGACCTCTTCAACAAGTGGTCACACAGTGACTAGCTGGACAGAGATAGCCCATTCTGCTTCTGAAGAGTTGTAAATATCGGACACAAACACCAACACTTCCTAAGAAGTTTTCTTTGCTACCATTATTTAGCTGACCCTCTCTGATTGGCATGCCACTGCTTTTTTCAGTACCACTCAGGAGCAATTTTGTCCATTGGCTTTAATGGTTTTCCACTTTAATTGATATTATTTTTAAAATTTCTGTCAAAGGAATAATTGTGAACCTAAATGTCCCTAGCCTTGCCTTCCTCCTCACTTTTTCTGCCTTTCTTCTCTCTGCCTTCTCAGAGTTAGTGTTATCTTCCCACTTTTCTTAAAATTCACAAATCTCTGCTTTGTCCTTTTGGTCAATTTCTTGGTTTTGCAACTCTTTTCCCCTGTGTGCTTTTTGACTGTTTAGTCTGAGCCCCATTTCCATAGTTTCTGGTACATAGGTAATGTCTAACTCCACTTCCACCCTGATTTGGTAATACTTTTGTCTTATCGTCAGACCATTATCATGGTACTCCTCAACTGTGCTTAAGAGACTGATGGGACTTGTATTCAACTGCAGTTGAAGGATCTTGCTATCTGCTGTTGCATCTTTGCTCTCTGGTGCTTGGATACAGTTTCTTCCCCATCTCCGAGTCTGCATATCTGCTATGATCAGATTTTTCTCTTTAAGAGTGTGACCCTTCAAACAGAAGTAGAAAAAACAAAAACTTTAAGGTTTCTCTATTCTTATTATTCCAATTTATTGAAGATTGAAATGTAAAGACTTCATTCTAAAGAAAAGCTCTAGATTTGTCATTTCCAACACTTTTTCACTAAGAAGTGTATCTTGTCTTTGAACTTTATTATCCCATAAATACATAAACTATGAATTATGAAATACAAAATATGAATTATGAAATAAATGAGTGTTAAGAATCCAGTTAACAGTGGTCAGCTACCATATTTTAATGAATTAGAACTAAAAATTAGTTCTAATTCTATACAGAGGAATTTTCATAAATCACAGTTTTATGTTTTTCTCATCTTCCTTCTCTCAAGTTCTAGTTTTATCTTTTTGTCAAAAATGTATATGGATCAGCTATTTGGATTTCATAGATGCTTCTTTCCCTTTAATTCATTTTAAGGATATTTTTGCTATCCTTATTCCTCTGTCTAATGCTAAGACCACATAACTGATAAATTTACATATACAGGGATATCTGCAAATTTGAGAATGTATATCTCTAACATTGATACTAGAATACATCTCATGTCTAGTGGTCCTTTAAGGAAAAAATGGAAGACTTACCCAGATCAAGGTAGGGAGAATGCATTGTTAGTGGGGAGCAGATGAGCCAGTGGCCCCTCTAATCAGTCTCTTTTTTTTCTAAATCCATTTTCTAACACCCAAAAAACACCATCAGTAAACCAGTTCCATTTCCTTTCCAAGCAGGCCTTATCTTGGACCACACCTATGCATACAACTTAACATACGTACACATCCATGTTTTAAAAATGTACCTATTTCAGAAATAGTTAAGTTCATAGTTTTTCAACAGTAGAAAGATCATCCCTGTCAGGGTTCTATTAAAAATCACAGAAATCTCAGTTTGAAGCAACCTCGGAGGTCATTTTTTATAAACTTTATAAACAGGAATGTCCTTGATAGCTTCTCCAACAAACATTCATCTAGCTTTGCTTCAAAAGCTCAGATA